ATATTAATTGTGAGTATGTATATTTTATGGATTAAATTGGCTAACTCTTTGAGTACAAGTCTATGAAGGCGATGGTTAGCTAGATGAATAAAAGATGAACTTATAATTGTGTTTGTCGAATGAAAAGTATGACAAAATCATACTAAGATATGGGATAAGTGGTGTAATATTGTGGACACCCGAGGTTAAATTGTGCCATAAGGTTAGTTGGGAGGATTAAATTATGTTTTACTCTACTTGTATGATTGCAAATTATGAAAAAAAAATTGCATTAGTATTTTAAATTGGGTATAAGTCCAAGACATGGCTAAGGAATGTTGAACATAAGTTGGACATGTATGATAACCTTTGGATTGTTTAGTATATTCTTTCATGCAATTGTTTACTCTAATTTTAAAAATTTTGAACTCAACATTTTCTGTCAATAGTTTTAAAATGTAAATCCCATTTTCAAAGCATTTTATAATAAAAAATTAAAATTGACTCTTTTATCCTTAATCATTCTTAACAATCACGTAAATGGGATGACAAGTTTTCAAACTCTTAAACTAGTATAATATATTTTCATAAACCAATAATCAAAGTAAAGTAAGTATATGGAAGCATAGGATACTAAATATTACAAAGCATTTGTATTTTAGTTGAAGAAAAGCAATTCAACGCAAAAGGCAAGGGGTGTGCCATGGCAAGTTGCAACACATTCCATGCTATGCCCTATAGCACATTGCACAATCATAATAGCAATGATATTGTCAAATGATAACTTCTCAAGCGAACTTTTAACATGCCCCGTTTCTACATCCAATGTTTGATTGAGATAGTTTAGATGTTTATAGAAAGTTCTTTCAAAACACTAGCTAATGGCAATATTTACAATCGTATCATTTTTCATTCAAAAGTTAAACACTCATTTACAAACTCACTCCTTTTACCATTTAAACCTCCATTAAGGTGTCCAAATCTTATACCAGGTGCTATAAGCTCACAAATGCTCCTAGATCACACTCAATGGGCTAAAATTGACCCATGCAATACACCATGACATTCTAACAACAAATAAATTGCAATTCTAGTGCTCAATCTCTTAATCATACAAATAGAAGGAGAGTCAATTTGCTATGAAATGCAACAATAATCATTTATAATCAATGTTATCATTAATATCATACTTGTATTAGTATTTTAACTCTATCTAGATATCACAATTAATTATACACACAACCTAAGGCCTAAAATACACAATTTAACTCAAATCAATAAATAATACAAGTAATCACAAAACAATGCAACTCCTAATTGGCAACATCATTAAAATCATACACATAATGCTCAAAATAGTGAGGCCTACAAGTTAGGATAAAAGATCATATGCCTTAGGCTATTTTTCCCTACCTTGACCCCGATGAGCTAGCATCTGTAATATTAAAGAAAGTGAGATGAGTACAATCACTTAGTAACTAATGTTAATCTAGCATATATAAATGCATATCAATCAATTATAATAGTACAAATGGCATGTACACAACTTTCACAAGTTTATACTTTTCTTTTAAATCATTAGCCATGCACCATAATACAAACAATGATAACAACCATGTGTCTTATATAATGATATGCAAGACCATAACAATAAAAATCATGTGGCTGTTACATGATATGCATAATCAATACCATATTTATATCTTCTTAATACCTCTAACATAAAATCGGGAGCTATGTATTGGGATTCACCTCGTTGATTGAACTACTCAAACCTTTCACTTGTGAAAAGCTGCCTAATTGAGGCTATTACAGTCACTTGTGAGTCATGATTTTTTCAATACTAATAATCATAGGGTATTGTATCTCTAAACTAGCTTCTTTATGGATTGGTGGATATTAGTTTGGTTCTTATCCCTCAATGAACAAGTGGGATAGTCTCTCAAAGAATAAGTGAAATAATAAAAATAAAGAAGTAAGTCATGGAGCTCCAAACGACAGTCTTATCATGTGAATTTTTAATATCTTCTCCTCTCCTTATAAGCACACTCTCATCTTAAGTAATCATGCAATGAACATATGTTCAACTCATGATATGCATATACTTATAAATCAACTCTTAGCATACAAATTCTCAAGTGTTAAATTCATTGTATACATATTTCATTCATCAAATTTATTCACATAAATTTCTATCCATAGCATTTTTCATTTTTTGCAATCTCGACATTTTCTTCTTATTCTTATTTGTATCACACCATAGTTCTTATGCATGATCCCATATTTCTGCTTAAACAAGTCATTTATCAATATTTCACAAAGAGATCATATTACTAAGACTTAAATCAATGACTTATGCCACATTTTGATTTAAAAACATGTTCAAAACATACACATACTTTCCAAAATAAGCTATAATCATATATAACTAATTAACAAATGAATACACAAACTAAATTATCCTCAGTTATCTCAAACCTTTGAGAGATCAAAGGTCTACCACTCAATAACTAACACTTCTAAAACTTCAATTTTGCTCGAGTAATGGTTCCAATTTGTGATTAGTCTACAATTAATTGTATAGATAATCATTAATATCTTTATTAGAATAATTATCAACTTCTAATTTTACACTTTCAAAACTCCAAAAATCATAATCTCATTTTCAAACATATCCATTGGGTTTTTTAACTTTCTTTAGTTCACGTTAACCTGAATGCATCGTCTCACTATCATTAATGGCCTTTCTACACTCCTAACTAATTTTGTAAATATTATTTTCAGACATTTATAACTTCCACCAGCCAAATACTTGAAAAATAATTAATGTTAGGTTTAAATAACCTGAATAACTCCTATTAACTCTATATAAGTTAATGGATTTAGATCTATAACCTCTACGAATGAAGAATCATTTTACCCAAGCAAATCCTAAGAAATAAGGAAGAGGATGGGAGTAAAGAGCTTAGGAAACTTATATTTAATGTTCACAAGCTTAAAAATGCTCTTGAACCTTCAAATTCCTTATGCCCTAGCAAAGCTCTCAAGCTCCTTTCATTTTCTCTCTATTTCTGAATTAATTCTCGCTCTTATTATTGTCAAAAATCATCCGTGCGTCACAATGCTTGCCACACGCATTAGGGCACATGGTACAGAGAGGTGCGTTTCATGTTTAGATGACTCATGCATTATAACACGTGGCATAGAGGCACCTTCTTTTATTTTTCTCCCTTCTTAAGGTTTAGGTGTCCTAACTCCGATCCAGACCTAATCTTAAGGTTGAAATCATAACTCAAAATATTTGTTAAAACCTTCTGACTATACACCACATTAATTTATTTAATTAACTTTATTTAACTTAGCTAATAAAGGTTTAATTTTTTAGGATGTTGCATACTCCATTTTTATAATCAATTCTTAAAAATTATCCAAACATATTCAATTATCAAAATTAATTTAAAAAAATATTATCCATACATCATCATGTTTTGTTGATCAATTTTTTCTATAATCAATTTTTACCAATTAAAAACCCCTATTATACATGCTAAAATTAATTATAAATCCAATGTTATAGTTTTCTTAAAAATATCCAAACATCTCTATACATGTCAAAATTAATTATAAAAAAAACATGATTTGTAAAATAATTTATATGATTTTTGGATAAATTTTTAGAAACTTATAATTGAAAAATTGAATTGAAAAATAAATAATAGTAACTTATAAGGTAATGATGATTTTGGGCTGATAATTAATACTAGCATGCATAGGTGTGTTTGGATATTTTTTAAAATATTATTATTTTGGGTTCATAATTTATTTTAGTATGTAAAATGGGCATTTAAATATTTTTTGAAAAATATTATTTTGAATTCATAATTAATTTTAACATGTATAAGGGGTGTTTGGTTATATTTTCATAAAACCATTATTTTATTCGATTTTCAATTCTACTTTTCAATTTTGATTAAAATTAATATTATTAATTAATTTTATAAATCAAATATATACTACATAACATAATCAATTATATTTAAAATCAATCACATTAATTAATTTTTTTTTGGTGATAAATATTCAAATGGGCCCTAACACTTGGCGCCCTCTCTGTGAGTGTTATTTGTTGGGAACAATATGTAGCTTTAACATTACATTTTACGGGCCACAATCAAAACGTGGCACAATCTTTATTAGTCTTTTAGAACAACTGAGACCAAGCAAAATCAAGTTTCTTGGGCCACGCTCGTCATTTCTATTATTTGAAAAAATTCATAGGAAGTTAAATTCTAACCAAGTCCTAAATAACTGAGCTTATCTTGTTTAACTCAGTATAGAAGTTCACTTTCCTCCTCTACAGAGGAGAGTAGAGGAAAGATAATTTCAAATCCAAACCGATAAATTAAATTTGATGATTTAAATTTAATAATTTTTAAAAATATAAATTTAATTTATACAGAAGCAATGGTAGGAAAAAGTAGGGGAAAGAAACCCATTCCTAATATAACGGCAACGACAAGATGTCAGTTATGAAGATGATGATTAGTTGCGACATAAAAGGTCACTCTCTGGTGTGCGCGAGCTTGGATTTAGAGGGCATTATTAATGGAGGCATGCTAAGTTTGCAGTGAGGGAGACATGACATCAGAAGGAGGGGCCGGGTAGGGTTCAGTCTTGAACATGATATTTGAGGCCAGGCAGAAAGCAGAAAGCAGAAGCACATAATCAGGCGCAAACCCGTCTTCCTTAGTTCATTTACACCAATCAACCGCATTTGCATCCTTACTTTAATGAACATTTATCTGCTCAATCTGATGCTGGCCAGCCCTAATGAAGAAGAGGCCTCCCAATAAGAGATCAAATAATGTTGGAAAGGACAACACCTGGTTAGTGCAGCCCCAAAAGGATCTCCAATCAGTCCAACCTGCCAAGTAAACTTTTAACATTCCTTGTTCCATTTCACCTCATGAGTCATGAATCAATTTTTTTTTTTTTATATCATGATTTCGAAGAGAAGGCAATTTTCAACAATAAGATTAAGATGATTCGATTTCATAATTCATAGAAGGCTCTATTTAAGTACATGGGGTGGGAACACAAACACACACGCACAAATACAGCTACTGGGAGATATCTAATGAAAGTGATATTTACAATTTACGTTAAGACAGATTAACCCATGAGAGCGCCTAGTTGTATGATGAGGAGATCAAAATTCCACCGTAGAACTCTGCCAAACCTCAACAAATTGTTGATCCTTCCTGGTCAAGAACATCTTATTCCCTCCAAAGGCCAGATTGGTGATCTTAGAACCTCCAGTGTCCTTCACCCTACCAATCAAGTTCTTCTTGAATATCCTGTCATCTAACTTCTCCTCTCCTTTCTTTGCAGAGCTCGTTATAACCTCTGACCACATTTCTATGTCTCCTCCCTTGCTGCAGAACACTTGATTCCCTTGATCTTCAACCTTGCATCCTATGCCTTCCTTCTTCCCATTCAACACTTTTCTATTGTCACCAAGACAGACCCAGGAATTCCCAGTGCTTAGATTACGCATATCCACGAAAAATGCCTCCCCAGAATGTACCCCAACCTTGAAGATCACTGACAAGTTATCTGAAACCGTCACGTCTGCAAAACAATCTATCTTCTCCATCACCTCCCAAACAACTTTCCCGGACCTCACATCCCATAATCTTATGTTGCCCGATACTCCAGAAGGACCGCTATGAGACCCAGATGCCATGAGCAAGTTGTATCCCGAAGCCCATTTCAGTTTCGTTGCTGGGATCGCGGAATCGATATCGGCACCAAAGATCTCATTGTGACCAATCTCTGTAATGGGGCTAAAAGTATGTAAATCATATACCATTATTGAATTTGAATTGCGGCGACCTGATTCGAAGCTCGCAAACAGGTGCTCCGGCGAAGACCCGATTGCTAGGACGGTGGAACCAGACCTGGTCACGTTCTCCCAGTCTAAGGTCGTTTCGATAACCTTCCTTGTCAAATCAATAATTTGCAACCCCGAATAGTCATGGGCACCCGCAGCCACCACCGAATCGGAGAGGGGTGATAGAGAATCGACGGCCATGAATTGCGTCAAAAAAGTGGACTTGCGTCTAAGGGACCAATCAAAGGATGTTATCTTGCTGCCATGCGCGACATGAACCGAACCGAACCTTGAGACGGCAATGGCGGAGGGTGTATCTCGACCGTTAAGAGGTAAAACAATCGATTTCTGGAGGTTGAAGGGCTCGAACTGAGAAGGACTGGATAGGGAATTCCTGAGTGTGTGCTCGATGCCGTAAAATTGGGACTCGAAAATCAGATCTTGAAGATCGTATGCCTTGGCTCTGGAAGGAAGATTACCGGTTCGGAGAAGGGAAAGGAGGACAGCGAACAACTCAGGATCCCTGTCAATGAATGGGGTAGAGGATTGAAATTGGGCGATTTTGGCGAAGAAAGACTTGGGGCCGGCAGAATTCAGAGTCTGCTTCGTGGTTTGGAAGAATTGGCCACCTACATTAATGGTAACTATGTTGGAGTCTGATTTGGGAAGAGGAGATTCATAGGGATTAGAAGTTGAAGAAGGCGGCATGTTCGTGGATAAGCAAGTACAAGACGCTCTTCAAATTTCTCTATCTCTTGGCTCTGATGACATCGGAGAAACTTGATGACGAAGATGCAAAGCCCTTTCGGGACGCAAGCAACTACAGTACTTTGATGACGAATAGGTTCGGGTAAGCTGCACAGGGGAAGGTCCTGGTTGGCGTCGTCGGATCTTAAAAACTCTAGAAGGTCTCCAGATAATCAAATAATGCCAGCGTGCAAGTTGGGTCGTCACTGGTCATAGCAATTTTTTTTTTGGGCCTCCAAATTGGACCAAATTTTTTTTTAAGGGTAAAATCTAAATGTGTCTAACTGTTGATTAACGTTGTCTGGAAGTAAGACAGATTGATTGGCCCAAAATAAAAAAACAGGAAAGTAAAACAATTTGGATAATCCGGCGAACTCCTGTCCGCCATATAGAAGAGTATACTCAATGATTAACATGCCCTTCAGATTTAATTGAAACGAGTTTGGTTTAAACAAGTTGAATAATCTTTAGAAATAGTAAAAGTGCACAGTATACAATTTATTTCAATTTACACTCGAAGAATTAATTGTTGATGCCGAAAGTTAATTATCAAAACCGCATCTTTGTCAATACACAAACATTGCGTCAGCCTCGGGCGAATAGAATTGACATGACATACGCAGATCATTATTATTTGAATCAAAAAACAAAACCATGGCAGTATAAAAGAACAGTAACATAAATATTTTGCAATCCTTAATAAATAAATACAAAAGCAGTTGTTTACCAGGAAAAATTAATAATATTAAAGCAGTTATAGTGATTTTTGCGAAAAAGGAAGAAAAAGGTGAAGCCGGGTGCCGGACTAGGGAGGGGGTTCCATCGCGAACGAGGAAGAAGGGACGAAACTGAAAAAAGTTACATTCATGAGTTGTTTGTAATATTGTTCCTTAATGGATATTTTAACTATTTTTTTAATCCATTATCAGGTGTCATGAAAAAATAAAAAAGTATTACCACCTCCTATCTATACTAATTAAGAGACTTAAACTCAAAATTTTAAGATAAGTTAGTTTAATTCCTTAACTAGTTAAACCAAACATCTTTAGATATATTTATATTAATTTTTCATTATCTCTAGAGAAAATAGATGTGTATAGATTATAGAATAAATCAATCACATATATTTTATAAAATTTATCATTTAAATTTAAATGAATCAAACATCCATCCATATGTGTGCGTGTTATTGGAAATCCATATATTAAGAAATGAGAGACTCATTTAAAGTTGATAATATAAGCTAGTCACAAGTTATGAGTTAAAATAACTTGCATCTTGGTGAGTTATATTTCTGCCACTGGTTGGCAAGCTAACCCATCAATAAAATATATATTTTTAATTTTAAAAATTATAAATTTACCTTTTTTTCATCATTTTTTGGTGGTAAAAGATATATTTTTCCCCTAAAAACTAATTAACCAAATAACAATAAAACTAATTCTAAACCAATAAAAAACACAATACAAATTTTAAATACATCAATACAATCCAAAATAAATATCTACTCCATTAACAAAAACATAATAAAATTTAAATTACAATCTAAAACTTGAAATGATGATGATCATCATAATGACATAGGCACATTAGAATTTAATGCACTTTCTCTTTCAATACTAATACTAATAGTTGAAAATAATGATAATCCTACCTTTTTATAATCATTGAACAAAGAATACATACATAAATTTTTTCCTTTTTTTTATTATCTTTAGATCAAAATTTTCAATGAATTCTTGATTTAAATTTATAAAATTTTTATTATAATTTTACGTAAAAATATATAAATAAAATCAACGTTTTAAAATTTTATCTAAATAATGTAAAACTATAATGAAAAAATGGAAAAATAAAATCTCTTTATAAAATACTTTATTAATATTTTTAAATTGTAATTAAATCAAATAGGACAAATTTTAATGGTTTAAATTTAATTATATATTTTAACAGAACATATAATAGTAAGTTTATAAAATATTAAATCATAAAAGATTTTTTTTTTTGGTAGAACAAGAAGAAACGTAATTAAGCTACCTTGTAAAGTATTAGATTCCCAAATGCAGCACATGCATGATACTATGTGAAGGAGATCAAGTAAACACCAAAATCCCTATGCTACAGGTCCTCGATGTGTAACATGCGAGCTTATTAGCCATAGTGTTTGTTTATCGATGAGTATTAAAATAAAAAAAAAAAAATATGCAGGCTAACATGCGAGTTGAGCCATAGGCTCATTCTATATTACCAACTCTAGGCCCATTTTGGGTTTTGGTAACAAGCTCCAAAACTTCTTTTGGTTGGACCAAAGGCACGGGAAGGATGACTTAACTGGATTGTAACGTAGATCCCCAACTAGAGCTATGTGTTAGAGTTGGACTGTCTACATTTTTTTTTTCAAAAAACCATTATGCATCCAAATTCATAGTCTTGCTCGAAAAAAAAAAAAATCTCATTCTCATGCACTTACATAGTTTTAGGGTTTTTAAAATTGAACCGGTTAGGCTAGTCAAACCGATCAGATTGAGAACTAGCCAATGTTCCAGTCTGATTGAGACCATTAAACAAGCAAGTAATCAAATCGGTTTAAAACTAATAAATTCGTTAACAAACTAGGAAAAGCGAAAAAATCAAACGGTCAACCAAGTTGAGCACTTTGAGAAAGTAGACTTAAAAAAAAGAAAGGAAAATTGTTGAAAAAGCCAAAGAAAAGTTGGATATAAAGAAAAATAAAGATATTTAAAAAAAATTTTAAAAATGACATTTTGTTGCAGATCAATACCTTAGAAGCACTTTTCCATCAACAAAACTAGCAGGTAAAGCTTTCAAATGAAATGAAATCAATATGGAGCATTATAGTGCGACTCTAGCAAAGGGAGAGCAAGGAGTGGAAAGATAAAGAAAAAAAAAAAAGGTGAATGAAATTTTTGGCATATTGACCATCATGCTGTAAAAAAAAAAATTATTTACTAAATCACTATGTTTACAAAAAATATTTACCAATATATTACAGTCTACAAATTAAAATTTGACTTAACAAATACCAAATTTTAGAATATTTTGTGTCAAATGTCAATAAATGTTAGAGACTAAAAAATGTGCATGCCACACTCCCCCTCCCCCTCACACACGCCACCAATCTCTCTCTCTCTCTCTCGTTTTTTATTTCTGGTTCCCTCGTGAGCATAATGCAGATCTAATATATACTGGATAAATATTATATATTTTTATAACACTAAAATATATAAAAATTTACTTAATTTTAAAGTAATTATATTGAACCCCCTCACTTTTAAAAGGTCAAAATAACCTCTCTAATGTTTTATTTTATTTTATCACATACCTCTATATCATTATTTCTTAGTTGTCATATTAGTAAAAGTTATCATATTATATTAAAAAAAAGATAAATAGCAGCTTATGTTGCATGCAATGAAAGCTAACAATATCAAAAAATATAGATAAAATTCTTATAAAGTTAGTATTAACTTATAATGGAAGCCATATAAATTGCTATGCGTCTTTTCTTAATTTGATATGACAACTTTGCTAATAAGATAAGAATTATGAAATAATTGTAGGAAGTTTGTGACAAAAAATAAAAAATTCTGTGCAATTATCTCAAAATTTAAGGAAGTTCTGCATATTTTACCCTTTTTATAATATAAAATTTGAATAAATACTTCCTGGATATTTACAAATATTTTGATAAAAATATGTATATTTTTTCAATTTAAAATTTCAATTGATTAGATATAAATAAATATGAATATGTGTGTATGTATTATTTTTAATGTATTTCATTCTCTCCCATCCCTATTTTTTTGTTTCACTTTCCCCCCAACCTAAACCAAGCCTAATGATAATTAAACATATAAAACCTAATTCTGAAAAATCATAAAAACAGGGGGAAGAAATTTTACGAGTTATATGCCTTTTTTAAGACATTTTATATTTTTATCTCACACATTTTTTAATAAATGATAAAGCTTATTTCTCAAACCTTGTATAATTATTGAAAACAAAATTATTCGAGTAAATATTTCATACATTAAAAAATAAACTAAATACATATACATTTATACTTTTTTATATAATATCAATTGTAATTTTAAATTTGAAAAGTATACACATTTTCATCAAAATATTAATAATTATTTAGGAAGTATTTATTTAAAATATATATTATAAAAATATTTTTGATTAACTAAAAAAGAAGTTGAATTGGTGGTGTGAAAGTGAAATAAGAGAGGTAGCTGCAAGCATATTTCAAGTCTCACGTGTGATGCCATGCCTCTGTTTTTTTTTTTTTTTAAACTAAAAAAAGTGCATTTATAAACTAACCAACGTTACAATAAGACACTTATTTGACAACTCAAAATATATAAATCAAAATTTTAATTTTTTGACAAAATTATTTTTTTAATTATCCTCTCATTAAATATTGTATATCAATATTTCTTTAATAACAAATTAAAAATTCAATACATCATTTTTTCAAAAAAAAAAAGTAATAAATGAAAGAGTGGTATAATTAGAGAAATACGTATACAAATTATCTAAATATCCTATATTTAGAGCAGACAAGCCTTCTAAAAGGTGTTTTATATTGCAATCCCAAAAAAGTAAATGCAATGCTTGATAGATCTGGTAGGGTAGGTATATTAATACTAATAATAAATAGCAAATTTTAATGCGAAATCTACGAGCATGCCAGAGTTGCCGCCGCCAGTTGAATGATCAAAGCTTCATAGCATTGTTCCTTCCCCTCAGAGAGCTCAGCGACAACAATAATCAATGCAGCGGCAATGAAACCCAGATATATTCATGTGTGTGTTCACATGTCATAGTCAAAATCATGATGATCGTTGATTATCATTATTTATAATCACTGTCACACTGTCAAATTATAATACAAAGTGGAAAGGATAAGCATTTCTAGCCCGAATCAGGAAAGAACTCTGAACTAGCAACATATATCTGAAACTATCTTACCTTTTTCAGGGGCCTCCAAGTTCGAAAAAAGAGCCCCCTCACTTATGTGTCAGACCTCCCAGCTAAAAGCAATTAGTCGCCTACGACTCATCTTAGCAGGTGTTGACTGTGGCCAAGCAGCAAGGCACCGGAACTAAAACACTACGCCAGCTTTAGTAAGTACTGTTATTGGTTAGCTCACACCAGGTTGAATCATTGGGAAGAAAGACCAATTCTTGGAGGGTTCTCCTTCCTTTGCCATGACTTTCTCATTAGCCCACCAATCCGCCACTATATTTGGTGCATGAGAATCCCCTCCATCTGCATTGTCAAAATTGAATTCCTTAGCAGAAGAAAGAGTTAACGATGGAGGAATCTGATTAACCATGTCCCCATCTCCATTCCCGGTGACTTTCTCCTGTGCATCATTAGCAGTTTCAGCAACAAGGACTTTGCCACCACTCCCAGTTTCCCTTGAATTCTCATTTTTCTCTTCTCTTTCTGCATCATTTTTGGATTTTGATACTGCTCTAGTTAATACCACGGGTTTGTTCTCCAAACATCTCCACAGTTCTTGGGCAGCTAATTCAAATGAGACTCTTTGGTTTACATTCTGACGATTACTGCCTCGACTTGGGAGGCCCGGGGACATTTTCCTCTCAGAAACCCGATGTTGTGCAAGGAAACAGTCTTGAGTTGTGGACCTCGTGGCATCTGGGGTTAGAGATCCAGAACCCTGATGTGACCTTTTGTTTTCAGAAGGGGAAAATTTATCAAAATTTAGAAGCTTGGAAGGGTCTCCTGTCTGGAAGTCAAGGATATGCAAGCCACCTGCAGTTAATTCAGAATCAGGGAAAGGAGATGAGGTGCCAGAAGCTGAGATGCCAGATCGTGGAGATATGAGTTGACCAATTGGACTTCCAGGATGAAGTTGATAAGAGTGGAAGTCATAGTTAGATATTTGGAATCTCTGAAAAGTCTCACCATTCCTGAGGTTAGGGTCAAGCAGCTGAGCAAATGGCACCTCAGGCGAAGAAGGTGTAGTCAAGTGGACAGACTCAGGAGGTGGAGTGAAGGGAGCAGTTGATGGTTCAGTGGTGAAGGTGGAGAAAACAGGCGGTGAAACTAATTGGGTTTCATGGGCATAAGGGCCAGTTGCAAATATGGAGGCAGGGCCACTTGGAGAGTACATACTAGCAGATACAGGAGTGAAGGATACTGTACCAACCGGTGACTGCATTGTCGAAGGAGGTTCTGATTGAAGGAAAGATGCAGGAGATGAAGGAGGTGCAACAAAGGGAAGTGCTACACTGATTGGTTGGGTTGAATGTGCAGCTGTAGTAGCAGTACTACCACCACCACTACCAGCAGCAGCTGGTGTTGTTTCAGGAACAAGAACAGCATGCCCAATTCGCTTTCGGGTTTTAGAAAATCCAAAACACAAAGATATGCTCAAGCAGCTTCCCCATCTTTTCTTCTGCAGGAAACAAATACCGAGTTAGAAAACACTATAAGACAATGCTTCCTTTAGCAACCTCTACAGATAGATACAAACAATACAGACTTAGTAGCTTAAGATCATATTCTAAATATGAAGCCATATGACAATGTTATAATTGGTGACCCCAGATTGAAGGACAAAATATACATAGGTTGAACCAGGGATTAAGACGCAAATGACAGTGGCCACATATGCTGGGACGGGCAGGCTATCATCCAGAATCTAAAACCACAGTGATCAAAATCATAACTTTCTGGAAATTGATTCTGGCAAGGAAGCTAGAGATTCTGAAAAATACAACCAATATAATTCCCTCGTTCCTTCTTCCACTTGGTAGTTTACCAGTTCCAGTAATTAAAGCTTGGTATTCGATCTTCAGATTATTCACAAGTGACCCCGCAAGTGATCTCATGAAGGCCTATAATATTGGAATATGTTGATCACTGCTAAATGTCATTAAAACTAAATTAGTTACAACTTTCAACTAACGAAATACCGCAATTTCAGGATAATAAGGAAAGATGATGGAGAAATGTATCTTCTAACTCTTATATCTTATTATAAATATCCACTAAACTGATAAAATCATCCCATACTACAAAATAACTGATAAAATCATCCCATACTATAAAATGAGAAAATCTCGTGCCCAATAAAAGCCCCCTAGTTGACTGACGCGGAGCAAACAGTGCAAAATTTCTCGCAAGTGACTCTCTCTTCACACGGATAAACTCGCAAAACTTCAGAAGAAAAAAAAAAAAAATTCTATTTCCGCTTTATGAATATCAGCGAAAAGTGAGTGATGGCAGGTAAAACCAAAACCAGCGTGAGAACCGATGAGTTTCGGTGCCACACGCTTTATCATTTGAGGAGCCAGAGAGGATATGGTGCAGGAGAATTCTAAAATACTGGTTAGTTAATCCTTCAGGAGCTAGCTTTCTTTTGAAAAGTAAAGCAAAGTACTTTATCCCTCAGCTCCTTAAAAAAATAAAGAAAGATAGAACCAAAAGAAAAGGGCCTGTTCTTTTCGGAAAAGAGATGGAAAGTGGCAACCGAACGAGATAGTCCCGCGTCCCGCATCAAACTCGGAACCAAGAGAACATACAGGTCTTAAGACATCTAAACGATCAGTCATAACGACGATGCATCTTCGTAGGGAAGGAAATAAATTCCAGTTAGCTAAGCAGGAAAATCAAGAATATGCGAGATTAAACCTGAACAGATGGTTGGTGAAAGTGATTTCCGGCTGCGGCGATCGCAGTGGCAGCAGCGGTTACAGTATCTAAAGTATTGTTAACGGGTCGATAATCCCCGTTAACGCGTCTCATCTCGGACGGTATCATGTTTGCTGGGAGCGATCCAAAATCCGAGAAAGAAAATCGGGAAAACAGCAGAAACCAAATTCAAACAGAAAAGGATGAGGAAAAAGATAAGCGAACAAGAGGTAGATTGCAGAGCAAGGAAACAGAGAAGCAGTATTTGGTGGGAGAAAGAAATGGGAAATAAAGGGAAGTGTATGTGTGGTAGGAGTTGTAGAATATGGAGGGAATGAGGCGATTGCGGAGAGGGGCGTGATGTGAATCTGAACAAAGGGGACGTTGTATTGGAGAGAACGGAGGTGCGGGGGTCAAACACGGCGAAGACTTGAGGGTCATGTGATTAATGGAGACTCCGTGCGCTTGGGGTGGGATTCAAGGGGGATTATGTCAATAATTAAATTTCCTCTTTTCAATTAACTTGGGACGCAGTTGAAAAAAATTGCACTCGCACCTCATGTTTTCCAGCCTCCTCCTTTCTATTATTATTTTTGTTATCTTTTATATTTTTTATCCATAATGTAAAAATAAAGTATGTATAATCTAGGTAAATAAATATGTCGAAAACATACTCAATAATAACGGGCTTGCATAGCAAGAGTTTGAATTAGTCTGACATTTGTATTAATCTAGGACTCTAGGTCTTGTTAAAATTTTCTTAACTTTACCTGCTAGGTAGTTAACAAATTTTACAATCATTAAGAAATTTATAAATAAATACATAACTTTTTTATTTTACTTTTTTATATTTAATGATCATAATAAATTGCTATTTGAAAATTTACAACATAAAAAATTTAAAAAATTAATTATTCTTAATTCGTCTCATATTAAGAATGGAAGGAGCATGGCAGGATGCTGGTTGCTTTAAGTGAATGAGAATGAAGTAAATAGTGTGATATGACGTAAGTGCCCTTGGAGGTGGGTGGAGATGACGCGAAAGGGAAGGAGGGGAGGGTGGAAAATGTGGAGAGAGAAAAGAACAAAGAAGGGTGCACGTGTGCGTGTGGGGGCAAACGATGGAGTTGTCGAGGGGCTTTCGTGCGCAACAACGCCACCCACTGACTCCGCTATGGGACCCACCCTTCTTCCCCACAACATTGAATTCATTTCTTCCGCTTTTACCTGCCTCCACCTTAACTTGCACGGATTCTCATTCTCCTCCCTCTTAATCCTAACACCAAAACACACGATTATTATTAAATTAATTACTACCTTCATTTTAAATTATAAAACATTTAAAATATACAATATTTTATTAAATACAAAAATTTTAATATTATACTTTATTTTTTATAATTATTTTTTATTTTTTTAATATATTAAATTATTAATATTTTTTAAAATTTTATATTTTTATTTTAAAAAGATAAAATTATTAAATATATTTAATAAAATTTATTAATATATGAGATTTTATCTAAAAATATTTTATAATTTGAGAAGAAAGCAATACCAATAAATGACCTCAGAAATAATTTAATATCAAGTAAGAATTTTTAACAAGTGGGTCTTCTATTGAAAAATGTAAAATATTTTTTAAAAAATTAAATATTAAAAAATATAAATTATTTTTAATCTTTTTAAAATGAAATTATTGTCTTTTTTTTAAAAAAAGTACCCATACTAAATAAATTATATTATATTTATTTTATACTAAAATATTATATTAAATAGAGGTAAATATAAAAAAATAAAATTAGCTTAAAGACAAGTAACTATTTTATTAGAAATGAAATTTAATTAAAAATACTTTATATTTTTTAATGAAAGAAGTAAATATTAATAATTAATAAGTGAGCTTCAAATTTTCATAAATGTCTAATACCTCCAAGTCCTTGAATGATGTTAAATGATTTCATTGATATTCTCCAAAAAATTTAATTAGAGCAAACATCTTGTAAATTGAAGATGAGCCTTGTTTCTTGCCATTTGTCAATAACTTTAACTCCCTCTTATCTAAAATATAAGTCATTTTTTTAACTAATTTTGATCCAAAATATATACAATTTGGCATTTGTAGAATTTTTTCTCATGTTACTTATTATATTTATTAACCTAGATTCTTGTATTTACTGTAAATTTATGATTTTCTTCTCTCATAAATTAGAATTAGAATTAGAGTAAAACAGACAAAAATTACTCCTCTAATCCTATTTATAGAACAAAAAGAGTATTTATTTTGATCCTATTTATAAAACACTTTAATAATTATTATATTTATTTTATTATTTTACCCCTATTAATGTTGAGCAAGTTATTAAATGTTAAAATGTTATATTTTTAAAGTATGTATATTTAATAAGAATAAAATTAAAAAATTTATTAATTTTTTAAACAGAGCTAATGAAATTTAAAATTTTTTTTATTTCAATAAAAATGCCACAAATAATTTGTAAATAAGACCAAAGTGACTATATATTTTCAAAAGAATAAAGATTTTATTAGTGTATGAATTATCGTTGAAAATTATCTAATGCTTATATTTTGAGTAGGATGGAGCATATTTTACTATCAATGATTTGTATAAAGTTTTAGTCAATTATCTTTTTCTTAAACTCACTCGCCCTCACACATCATCATCATCATCAAGAGATAATATTAATAATTCTCTTTCACCCTTTCCTTTGGTCTTAATGCATATCCCAAAAGATCATCATCCGTGATGTACATAATCTATTCGTGCAGCTTTTCATAAAGCACTTCTCATGTTATCATCTAGATGAAAGAAATGTTTAAAATTTATTAACTCTATTTTAAAATTTTAAAAAATTTTAAATTTATACTTATTTAAAAAAATGAATTGACATCGAATAGAGATAATATGAGAAATATTTAATAAATATTTCATATTAAATATTTCATATAGTGTCTTATAAAAAAAAAAGCTATACTTATTTCAAGTGTGCTATAAAACGATTTGCAAATCACATTCACTGTCATTTTATTCTGAGATTGAAAACAACATCTTGATGTAGTGCACTCACACGTGCATTAGTTTTTAACTTTTACAGCCAGATTCACCTGCGAAAATCATTGCCCACCAGGAAATAATTATATTTTAATCATGATTCATCTTGAGATATACTCTCTGGATTTGTTTGAAACAGAAAGATCGGAAAATAAAACGCAAGCGTGAAAAGTCTCATTATTAAATGATTTGGAACCCAGATAATGAATAGCATGCTCACATTCCGCAGCTTTTTTAGACCTTTTTTTTTTTTGCCTCTATGTAAACTGTTCATCGTATATATGGCCACTTGTCATCTTTCACGCCCTGCCCAGCTTGTGTCATATTGGTATATTTTCCAGTTATACTTCGCTTTCATGTTATCAGAATCAGAAAAATCAAACCAAATTATAATGAACTTGAGAACCAATAAACATGAGCCATTTATGATCAGTTCACCTAAAATGAGAAGGGGAAAGAAACATGGCATGGCCTTGAAAGATAAGATCAAGTGTATAACCACCACTATTGCTTTCATTTTTGCAGGCAATCAATTTGAAATTTACAGCTCATGCCCAAGCATGCCAATGTGGGATTTGAACCTTGAATCTCTAATTCACAGGAGATAGCGGTGCCGTTGGAATAATTTATCATTATCATTGACAAAACCAACCAGACTGCCATAAACTACATAGAATTATGTTAGAAGAGTGTCTAAGTTGAAGAGATAATGTGAAAAAACTGGTATAGAAAACGGTGGGCTATCTGGGATTGACCCAGTTAGTGGAAAAGATATAAAGTATTTGTAATCCTTAATTGATACTAATAATCATGATCCTGGCTTTGGCTTCCCAAAAGGCAATCCTCCTTATGCAATTATTACTTTCCATATGCTAAAGCCCTGCTTTTTCAACACTTCAAAGGCTCTATTTTCACTATGCATGAGGCCAACTTTTCCTCCAATAATTGGGATATGAACAACACAAACACATCGTGATAAACTCATCTTGGAATGAGGAAATAAAATCATAACTTGTTGATTGGCATATATTTAAATTTCAACGCGTTTCATTAAAGGCTCAAGCACTAAAACTTTCCCCTTCATTTTCTCGGAATTTTCGGAGTATATAATTGTGATATAGTAATTCAGTGGGGTATAGTAATAAGTCATGAGACCTTGTTTAATCCTTTTCCCTCTTGCTTCAGTTTTAGGGCAATCGAAAATAACAACCAGGCTATTCATGGATATCTAATTCAACTCATCAAGAAAATTTAATTAGCTTATTTTAAAATGTTTAAATTCAAGTCTTAAAATAGGCAATCATATTAAATAAAAAAATTAAAGGGATCTTTGACAAATGTTTGAAGTTGCCGTTATTGATAATGAATTATCACACAATGAGATTTCAGATTAGTCTTAAGTTTGTGGTAATATTTTCAGATTTCTTTGGATGGGGTAAAGAAGATAAATAACAATTAGATTATAGGCTTTAGGCGTTAAACGATAATATAATCTAGATTTGATAGGACGCGTTGTAAGCGACTAGACAGAGAGTAGCAATACAGAAATAAAAATAAAAATGGATGCCTTGTGATGCTTCACCACCTTTTTTAATGATCAACCTTTTTGTTTGACTTGTGAGAATGCAAACGAGGGATCAGGAAAAAGATGGCTGTGGAGGCCCCCTCTTGCACGAGCATATATAATTTATAAATACTGGTTTTGATATATTATGTAGGTATTGTAGGTGACTGCATAATAATGTCAAACTGGTTAGCTAAGCAAACTCTTCATTATTGAGCTTTTGATGTAACCACAACGTTTTACTCTGAGGATAAGGGGTCAACCGACTATGAAAACTGACGTGTTTGCAAAGGAATTAAAAGAGAAAAATAAATTTATTGCAACTGAATGAAATCTACTTACATATATATATATATATATAAAATAAACTGAGATATATAGTGAAATCGATCATGTGTTCTTCTTGAAAATTGTGTTGGGGGGTTACATTACTTGCTTGTCTTTTCTTCTTCTCCTTCTCGTTTGCTGTCGCCGATATATACTTAAATAGAGTTCAGGAAGAGTTCGGGAATGGCAGTGAGCAGTAGGTCATGAAGATAACATTATGCATTCTTTTCTCATTCTCTTAGGCCCATGTTTTTAGATAACAACAATAAAAAAAAAAATACACTTTTTGATCTTTGCATTTTGATCATATTTTACTATAAATTCCTGCACTTTTTTTTATATTTTTGGTCTCTATACTTTCATTTTTCAGAGTTTTACATTTATTTAAGATTCTTATACTTGTTTTATTTTGTTCGTTTAGAAATCTAAAACACTGAAAAATAAAAGTGTTTGATTTAAAATATTAAAAAAAGTATATAAATTCATAACAAAACACGAGCAAAGTACAGGGACCAAAATGTATGCTTTCCCTAATAATGATAATAATAATATGGCTATTAATTTCTAAAATTATTAGGCTTAAAAACCAGTGTTTTAAATAACAAATTGAACCTTAAATTATAAGTTTGGGAGTGTTTGGGATTATAAGCTTATTTTTTATGCAATATTCTTCAATTTTTAAAAATGGTGCACTAAAAAATTAAATTTAATTATTAGTTGACAAATAAATGGCAGAAAATAACAAAAAATTACAAAAAAATCCAAAATTATAAAGACCCAAAAAATTACAAAAAAGAATCAACAAAATTTATTGGTTATGTAATTTTTGATGTTATTTTTTATAATTTTTTGATTAACTAATGGTTAAAGTTAACACATGTTAATTAGAAGGGACTCTATTGCAACGTTTTGAAATATTAAAAAAAATATTACATTAAAAATAAATTTTAAATTTTAAATTCTCTAAAACTCATAATTTAAAAATCAATTTACTATTTAATTGTAATCCATTATCCATAGAAAAGGTTACAGTGAACTCCCTTCCGCTGATTCTATCTATAGTAACAGTCTAGAGCAAACCTAACAATTCAATGTATTACTCACTTTGTATAAAAAGCTGAAGCATTAATTAGTTTTATGAAAAAAAGGCCCTTATTTATAACTTCCTAAAACTTTTTTATTTAGGTGAAAATTTGAAAAATTTTACACCATTTTAATGATTAAATTATTTATTTTTAATTTTAATAAAGAGTGGAGGGTATGATTTTTTTTTTGAAAAAATGATAATAAAGTCCCAAAAGATCAATTTTATACTAGTTAAGTCCCAACTAATTCTAAAAGGCCAATAAAGTTTCAGAATCCTTAAGTGGTATTTTGATGTCACAGGAAAAGACCGAAACACCCTTCTTCAAGTAAAAGCTCATTTTCTTCTCTGCCTGAACGTGTCTCAGTGTGCAACGCGAAACTCTGTTCTCTGGGTCTGCGTTCTTTGATCCATACGGTGAATGAGAGCTTGGTTGGGCCAGGGGAGAGTGATGTTTCTGGGGGCAACACGAGTAGCCAGCAACTGAGAGTTGAACACTTGAAGGAGAAGACGCAAACGTTGGCGGCGGTGACAAAAGTGAGAATCCAAATTTTGCAATTCCCTTAAAAACAATTTGCAACTAGTACTTGAAATTTTAGATCGAAGAACTATTAAATTCATTGAAGAGTTAAATGCTTTAGGATAAAGCTCCAGTAATTTGCAAGTGAGAAACCAAATTTTGCATACCCTTAAAAACAATTTGCAACTGGTACTTCAAATTTTAGATCGAAAAACTATTAAATTCGTGGAAGAGTTAAATCCTTTGGGACAAAGCTCCAGTAATTTACAAGTGAGAAACCAAATTTTGCAATGCCCTTAGAAACAATTTGCAACTGGTCATCCAAATTTTGGATCGAATAACTATTAAATTCGTTGAAGAGACATTCCGTTTAAATCACAATTCAAGCATGATGAAATCAATCTAACAAGTCCTTCAAGAGACATTCCTTCTCTAATCATTCTTCCATTACAACTCCCCCCATCATAATGCATTGTCCCATGCATATCTTTTACAATATCTCCACCAAAATAAAAATAACAAAAAAGTTCCTTTACACAACTACTTTCCATCGTACCTAATAATATCAACTTACAAGAAATAAAATAAAATGTAATGATATATCACTTAGAAACAAGTTACTTTTGATATAAGTGATTTTCGCATCAGTCAAACAGTGACAGCGTTCCATATTAAAATATGGACACTCGATGATAATTTCTTACACTTTCAGTTGCAAAATGTCGAATCTTCATGCCAAATATTTTATAACGTCAAATAAAAAAAAATTCTTTCATGTTCAGTTGCAGAAAACCGTTCCATCTTTTTCCTTACAAAAGCCATTTTGCAAGAAATCAGACCTTCATGGAGTAAACCTTTTTGTTTAGATGCAAGGATTTGCAAAAAAAAAAAAAAAACCTGTCTACACGCACCAGCACAAAACCTTAAGCTTCCTTGAGTCAATAATTATTGCAACTCCACCTCTTCCAAGCATAACTCTATTTCAGGAATGGGTATTCTTCAACGTACAGCTCCACCACTTACATGCACCTCTCATTAATGGTGGAAAAGAGACAAATCGGGAGAGAAATGTTGGAGCTGATGAGTGTACATTATATTTACTCATAGGGGCATTTTCATCATTTCTTTCGTAATTTTGATTGGAAAAAAACAGCATGGCATTTGATTGGCCTTTTAAAATTAGTTGAGACTTAACTGGTATAAAATTGATCCTTTAAGACTCGGTTGTCATTTTTTTTTCTTTCCAATCGATTTACATCTAAAAATGTAGCACAAGAAGTAAGTAAACTCAAAAAAAGGTACTGATATTGAACACTAAAAAAGGTGAGGGGACCCAAAGCAATTTAACTTTTTTTTTTTTGGCCGGCGCATAGCAATTTAACTTACTTGAAGGAATGATATAATTTTAATTAGGCTGTTTGACTTGAAACTCTTAGGTTTGGGGTGAGCAGCACTAGCAACCCCTGATTGAACAGTGATGACAATCTGTTGCTGCATGTGACTCACCTTGACACTTGACAGACAACCTTAGACCTTAGTCCTTTGGCCATCTAGACAGAATATTTTTCATGCAAACCGTCTTTGTTTTTTTTTTTTCTACGGGAAAATTTTTTTTAAAAAAATAACAACCCAGGAATTCAAAATTTCCGCGGAGATTATACAAAGCTAGCGATCAATATCATCACGCTCATGAAATCACGGCTTAAATGAAATGGGACGACTTTGATCCTTATTTCTCTCAGCTTGACTTATTTGCCATGCAAGTTCAGATAATTGTGGATGGAGATTATAGCCCAGATTGTGGCTTCTTCATTTGATTTTCTTCAAACTTCAGGGCTAAGAGTGGGAAATTTTATGATTAAAATAACTTTGCTAGAAATCTTGGACAAGTCCAACTTGGTTGGCCACATGTCCTAGTTTAAAGGGATACGTGTTCTGCTTCTAGTAGTCTGTCTACCTAACAGTTAAATTAAAATGAGCTGGAACCAAGCATCCATGCTTTCAACTGCATGAAAGTCACCCCTCCCTCTCTCTCTCTCTCGCGGAAAATATTCAAGTGAATCAAATCCAGTTTTCATATCAACCATGATATTTTCCAACGCAAACGTACATCCATCTCAGCGCTATCCAATAGGGTCTTCTAGAAGGTAAACGAAGAAAAAGTCCCACGCTTTCCCTTCAAGGGCGAACTTCGAACAACGCCAGTGATATTAACGATTACTACTTAACATGCCATGTTTATTCGCATCCAACATGCAGCCTATACGGATAGTTTTATTTTATTTTATTTTTTGAAGTAATAGTACAATATGGATTATGACAGAAGACTTGAACATCATAAATTTTCTCATAAATAAAGGGGTTTTTATCATATCAACCACCACTTTATATCAAAGGTAACGAAAACAAAACATCCCCAGAGATTGAAAGCAGGTACAAGAAACACGAAAAGAAGGGAGAGCAGCTAAGGTGGTGGCGTAAGCCCACAATACATCAAACTAAAGTGAAGAAAACTTCGGTGCTTTCACATTTTATGGATGTTTTTAAACAGCTAAGCTTTTGGACGCAATCTCATACACATTCTCTGACAGTCCATTAGCTGACATGATTAGCTCCAGCTGGGCCTGCAACATAAAACACCACCCCTGACTTGTAACTGAGATGGTAACTAGACAGTAGAAACGGAAACTGCGTTTCCAAACCGAAAAACAAGAAAAAAGGGCAAATATTCCACATTGTGTCATCCTCCTCGCTTGTGCGTAGAAAGGGCATGTCGGCTCATTATCAATCTAAAGACAGCGAAGCATGAAAATCAGTCAAAAGTACACCAATAACTTACCTTGGCAAGTTTTTGTCTGTTTTCGTCATAACGCTTCCATCTAGAGAAGGCAGACACCAGTCGCGAGGCGACCTACATTAAAGAGAAACAAGAAATTGACCAGATTAAATAAAACCAGTCAGCCCAAAATTCAGAGACATAAGAATCCATAATTCACAGATCGCTTATGAATACGGACTTGAGGGTTGATCTTGTCAAGTTGAAGCACAATTTCTCCCAAAAACTTGTAGCCTGATCCATCCTTTGCATGGAAGTTCACTGGAGATCCACAGAAACCTCCAATGAGTGAGTAAACTTTGTTTGGATTGCGCACGTCAAATGCTGCGTGATTTAACAGTTGCTTCACATTCTCAACATTTCCAGGAATGTCAGACATTGCTTGAAGCGCAAACCACTTATTCACCACCTGGATAGAAAAAGGGAATACGATATATATATACTATATTAGAAACTTTCACCATGTTTGCCTTAAAATCGTAGCCAGGACTAGGATAATTTGCACAAGTTAGCAACAGAAAGTTTCATTGAGCAAATATGTATGTCTGGTATAGGCAAGTTAGTAGGTAACAAAAACGAAATACTACATTCGGCAATCTGCCAGAATAAAACAAGACTCTAGAGAGCTAGACATGCCTCACGGAAAGTATGAGGAAAGGAGGAGCAGGGTTCTACAAAGCGATGTTAGTCTTCACGAAATGATAGCAGTTCTTATTAGGGGACAGACAAAGTTTGATGTGCATCATAAACATTGAAAGTATAATTTTATAAAACGGTATCAAACAAGCAAAAGAGCACTGAAATAAGGTTTATTCCCAGAAACAACGAACTGCAGAAATCGAGACTTACCAGGAAGTCACGCTGCCACCTGCCATAGAAGTCAGCAAGAACGTCATCACGAGTTTTACCAGGGTTTTGAGCTATGGCTGCCAAAGCTGCAAATTGCTCAGTCATATTTGTGGCAGCATTATACTCATGCAGCAAAAGGTTGGTGATCTCTGGATCCTCTAGGCAGCCAAGATATGCTATAGAAAAAGTTATTAAGAATTAGCGAACTGCTACCCACCAAGCATATGAATGTATGCTTATGTAAAATCAACTACACACCAAGAGCAATATTTTTCAAAGCACGTCTGGCCATGTTAGGATGATTGAACACATACTCTTCATAGCTCCTATTATCTTTAAGCTGCAAAAAGGTAAAATAAGCGTGTACATGTCAAGAGAATTGATTAAGAATACAAGATATTTCATTTAATAATTGCAGCCGACTTCACAGAAGAGGACGTACTGTGCTGAGGAATTCTGCTCTCAGTTCACTTGCAAGCTGTTTCCTGATAAAAGTTCGAACAGCATGAACAGCATCAGGATCTGCAACCTCCATCATGTCCATTACTTCTCCCTCACCAGGCAAAGTTATAGCCTTTGCAACAAATTCCTATATGATCAAAAGATTATATTATAGTCCAATCAGCATTTATATGGTACTCCAACCCAACCTATACCCAAAAAGAAACAATGATACACTAGGAAAATGAACAATCTCCAGGTATACTGATTTGCAACATACTTTATCCAGGCTTGAGTCAGATAGAATGCTCTTAAAACCATCCGCAAATTTTTGATTCAGAACTAATGGTTTGTTATGTTGGAAATCATCCACCAAGCTGAGCATCAGCTTACGAGCCAGAATTTGCCCAGCCTCCCAACTAGGTCATTAGAAGGGGGGAAAACCAGTAAATACTTTTCATTAAGCCTCAGGCCAAGAGAAAAACGCAACTGTGAAGAAGACAAACCGGTTAAATTCATCTGAATCATTAGCCAGTAGGAAAAACAGGTCACTGTCAGTGAGATCTGATTCAAGACGGACTGGAGCACTGTATCCCCGTAATAGAGATGGGACAGGCCTCTCAAATATATCTGAGAACACAAATTCGTCTTCTTTCTGCATAGTATGAAAATAACATTATGAGTTAGATATGACAACGAAAATATTATAAACCAAAATAATCCATCATTCAGGATGCTCAGAAATATCATAGATTGGGTTTTCATTTAATTCACGTCATACTTTCACGTAAAATTTGAGAAGCAAGCATGATAACACGGTTTCAAAAACTTGAACTTTCTTTCCTCCCTTCAGATATTGGCATCACAACATCCTAGCTGATAGGTGTAACTAAGTAAATCTTACTTCAAGATATCAGCCAAAGACATCCATGCAAGCCATAAAGATCAGTTAAAAATTCCGAACAACCTCGGTGAGCTGAAGAACTGTAGTGTAGACAGGTTGACCATCTCGTGAAAGAGACTGCAAAGTTCCATCATGATATATAGTTGAAAGAGGAATGTCCTTGCCTGTAGAATCAAGCAAACCTACTGCCAGAGGAATGAACATAGGTTCCTTAACTGCTTGTCCTGGAGTTGGTGGAATCTCTTGACTGCAAAAATGCCCCGCCAATCAAATTATCAGAGACGAACAGCCAAAAGATAAAATAAAAAGTTGATTCTGGACAGTTGTATAAACCAACCAATCAACAAGTAGAAATCTAAAGATTCAACTTATTTACCTAATTTTTAAAGAAAAAGTATGTGCTTCAGGATTATAAGAGGAATTCACTTTGACAATAGGGGTTCCAGCTTGTGAGTACCTGTGTTTTGTTCAAGGGTTAGAAATAAATGAGCATAAAAGTGCTACAAGATTCAAATTTAAGATACAGACCAGAGTAAGAAATTTGCAAAATCTGCATGATTTGCATCTCGCATTGCAGCAAAAAAATCTTCACACGTCACTGCTTGCCCATCATGTCTCTTAAAATATAAATCCATGCCCTAAAATCCAGAGGAGCATTAAAAATAGTTTGAGAAAATAGCTTTGCATGTCAAGCAACAAAATCCTAACATATGACCTATTTTCAGGCATCAGATAAATGCATCCTTACTTTTCGAAACCCTTGATTTCCCAACAAGGTTTTGTACATTCTGACAACTTCAGCCCCCTGATACATGAAATATTTAGAACAAATAGCAGGCACAGACAAGGAAGGATTGAGAAAATGAAGTAGTGAATGTCAAACCTTCTCATAGACCTGCAGAGAAATAAAGATAACAAAAACAATTAGATGTCTTCATAAAAAACAAAAGTTCATGTCGAATTAAAGGTAAGAAGTTGCAATAGGGAAATGTTGAACCCACCGTCACTGTGTTTCAAAATCATGGTCGCTCCACATCAGCATTAAATCCAAAAGTATTTCCGAAACAGACAGATATCAGTGGTAGAAATCATTAAAAAAAAGTCAGCTAACATGAAGTACGATAATCAATAGATATCACTATATCTAAATAAAAGATAAAATCCGCAGCATTCACAAATCAACTTCTTCACTGTGTGCAGTGCACAGGGCATGAAGGCACACTTCTAGTTCAATACATAACCTGTAAACCAAAGTTATTAAAACACAAACTTGCCTGTGTAGAAGTTGTCCATCTGTCGAAGATGAAAATTAAAAAAAAGGGTAAATACAAATTTAAAATCACATTTTCAAAAACTCTTAGAGAGAGCACAAGAAATGGAAATGACTTAAAAGTTTAACCTTGATGTAAGAGTGTGGTCGCACTGGATGAGCCATGGGCCCAGCATCCTGTAAAATCAGATACAAGCATTAGAGCTGACACAGACATCATGTCCATTCTGCATTAACAATAGTCAAAGAACCAAAAACAATAATGTTAGTGTGATCAATGATAATAACATTTCACAGGAGCCATGACCACAGAAGATGCAGAAGTTAGTAACCTAAAAAAAAGCTAACCTGTGGAAATTGATAATTTCGAAGTTTTGAAACGTCAGTGATTCGTTTAACAGTACGGCTTCCCATGTCAGATGAAAATTCCTACAAAAAATAGGTGCAATTCATTACAATGAATTTGGAAAATTCACAGGAGAAAAACATTGTTGATTTCTCAAACAAAGCATGTCAAGCAAAGATAGGAGTAGTGCCTGATCACGAAAAACAGTGAGACCTTCCTTCAGGCTAAGCTGGAACCAATCACGACAAGTCACTCTGATATTGTTAAATTCAATGCTTAGTTCATGTTTGCAATGGAAATATAACAAAGATCTGATATAATGCATGCAAAACTACCAACTACCTGTTGCCGGTCCAATTGTGGAAATACTGCATCATAGAAAAGAAACAAACATCAGTCATGATAATGAAATCATCTTCAGGAATTTCTTTTCTTTTCTGAATAAAATATCTTCAAGGAAGTTATGCTCCAGAATTCCCAAGATATAAAAATTACAAACCTCGTGCCCAATAACTCCCAATATTGCAGAATAATCTGCATCAGTAGCAGTTTCTGGAGATGCCAAAACAAGCTTGGAGTTGAAGATCTGCAAATAAATGGGCAATTACAATCTTCCAAAGAGTAATACAAGAAACCAACTAAGACAAGCTGAGAAGATAAATACATACATTCAAACTCTTGTTTTCCATGGCTCCCCTGACCAATCAAAAAGCAAGGACAATAGATTATGTTTTTACTGGTACCTCATGTTACATAAAAGCATCATATACACATAAGCTGGTAACCCACGTTAAAAAATAACATGCTTACATGTTAAAATCAGGGACAGCAACAATATTGAAGAGATCCAGGTCATATTCAAGACCAAAAACCTATTTCCAAAGCAAATACAAAAAATCAAAGTCCATAATTAATATGAAATCAAAATGAATAATCATGTTCGATATATTTCAGATTAAAAAAAGAAAAGAAAAGAAAAGAAACTGACATCTTCATCCCACTTCATAGCTGCCTTTAGAGAATACATGGCATGTGCAGTCTTGGGTACATCCTCTGCAGGGGTCCAGATCCTTAGAGATACCTTGCGTCCTGAGAGTGTGATAAATGTGTCATCTCTACTCTGTAACTGCCCAGCAACCAAAGCAAACAAATAGCAAGGCTTTTTGAAGGGGTCCTCCCAAACAGCATAATGCTTCCCATTCTGCAAAAATGCACAAATAAGTGAATAACAACAAGGATGACTATAATAACTTCATAGTTTCTGTTTGATTCATTACGATGCATAGTCAGAGCAGCTCACCTCCAAGTCCCCTTGCTCAATCAGGTTTCCATTAGACAACAACACCGGGTACAATGATTTATCTGCCTCAATGTGACAAGTATATTTTGCCATTATATCAGGTCGATCCTATCAACAGATGAAAATCCACAAGACAAATCAGGATATGTGTTGTCGGAAACAATATAGATCAGTGAAGCATATTAACTACTGTGAGATGCCAACCTGATAAAATGTAATTTTACGAAATCCTTCAGCCTCACATTGAGTGCAGAAATTTCCAGACGACTTGTAAAGTCCCTACAGTTAATTAAATTCACACTAAGCACAACCCTTCCCCTCACTTGATGTCGAGGGGAGGAGGGGTGATGGAAGAAGTGATAAGTAAAATCAAGAAACTAACTCTGCAGCAAAACCCAAATACCTCTAAGGATGTGTTCCTCTGTGGGTAGATCTCATTTATGATTTCTAGAACAAATTTACCACTAGGAGGTGAATGGATGGTTAGATCTCGTGCACCCAAATGGTAATCTTCCTCCTAAAAAATGAACATGAAAAGAAACTAAGTATTGAAAATGACACTAAATAATACTCCAACCCCCCATTGTTGCCAACCCACTTGACACAAGTGCTCTCCGAAGCAACGACCCCAGAGTTAATAAGTAAGAAATTTTCAAATATATCATATAGAACTGCCATGATGCAAATTGAACATTCTTGGCTAATAAACTGGCCAGAAGGCATTACATCAGAGATTGGGTTCAGAAGATCTTCATAACCATAAGAAGTGGTTAGAATTGTCTATATACCTTCAAGGCTTTGCCATTTAGCTGAATTGAAATCAATTTTAAGTCATGTCCATCCAAAAGAAGTGGGGGAGAAGAACCTGTTCCATAACATAGATCAATACAGAACATTAAAAAAAAAAATTGCAATGAAGTACTCCAGAATTATTCAGATAATAATAATGCCTATATTTCTGCTAAACATAACCAAGAACCACTATGCTCTACCTTCAATGCGAGGAAACACGGTAATTTTTGAGCTAACCATTGTGCTCTCCTCACCCAAGGAAAATCTCAGATCCACCTGTATTGATTCCATGCATACACATGAACACAGGGAAAGTTAGAGGGTTTAAAAATTGCAACACATCAAATGTAACATGACTAGATAAATCCTCCTGACTCACTGTGTCAAAGTAGTAGTCAGGCATCTCGTAATCCTTCAAGAATATTTCTCTCGGTGTCTCCATATTAGGTTCTTCAACTTGCTTGGGCAAGTCCTCTGTGGCAACTGAACAAACTAGCCTTCGGTTCACTTGCTTGACTGTCTGAAACAAGATAAAAGAATATCCATGATTAAAGAAACAAAAAAAATGAAACTCCACTTATTTTATATGGATATGATAGCGTCACATTGAGATGCGCCAGACAGACAGATCACACATAGCCATAGAATCTGATTCTGAATGTGTAGAAAGACAGGTAGGGAGGTATAATATTTTTTAACATTAGCAGACAATCACGACAACAAGTCTCAATACAGAAATTTATTAACTTACAGAAGAAAATGAAGGGTGAAATGGGCAGCAGCTCTTTCGGAAAATGACCTGCGGTACAAGTCAGGGACAGTTCAAATGTTAGATGATTTTATAATATCTGACAATTTCTAATCACAATGTGTGTGTGTGCGTGTGTGTGTGTTGATGATGTATGGTGCAGAAACTCGAGGGGAAATTTCAAACCTGTGAAGTAAGGAAACGCCTCAATATGATGCTATTCTTTGTTGTATTCTCAACAAAGTTAACACGGCTAGTTGCCTGAAGCTGCAAAAACACAGGCGATCATCATATTGAATATGCAGTAGGGAAAGATTCCGGAGCCATGGCATTCAGACTTTACTTTTAATTCGAATTTGAATATTTCATATGAAAAATACAGAAAAAAAAAATACAAAGCAAAGAAGATAATAGATTAACTAGAAAACTCATCAAGATGGATGAAAACACAAACGGTCGCCGAGCTTTAAAGAAACTGAACCACTAACTCCCGAAAGCTGAGAACCATTTCAAACATCCCAGCGCCGATTAGAGACAGACATACGCGTTAATTGTGGCCTATATTCAATTAATGCTAAGAAAATTTATCACGGTAACAGAAAGGACATGTGAACTTGCATAGAGAAGATTTCGAGACATCCCGCAACGTAGACAATGTTACAGTCCTCGTGACATCGCAAAAACACCCAAAAACAAAGATTTTATTAAAAAAAAAAAACTTTGATATGGGTAATCACAGGAGCAGTGGAGATCAAGCCCAGTATACTCTTCCTCGAAAAAGCCAGAGTCTTTGATGGCAGAACCAACCGCGCCATTGAAATCAAAATCCCAGCTCCAAACAGGGGTTATGATTTTCGACTGAGAACGAATTAAAGAGTAAAGCTAATCAACTGAATATCAGCGACGCCCTCAAGGAAAACAAAGGAACAAAACACAGCCAGTTCTCATTCTTATAGAAGATGGGGATAGGAAATATGTGGAATTACGGATAATTCGAAATACGGACACAAAAATTTACATGTCAAAAAAAAGAAAAGCGGAGATTTTGATTTAACATGATATAGAAAGCGGATGCTACCCAAACGTTTTGGAAACTAGCGGTGCTTGAGCTGTACCTTCCTCGGAATCAAGTGCAGAACACAGGCAGACACGATCGAGAGAATAGAGATCACAGGAGCGCTGGAAGACATCTATAATTCTATATTTATAAGCTTACGTACAGTTAGAATTAAAAAATTTATAATTAAGATTAAGATTCACCAGAAGTTAATAAACTAAAGTTAAAAAAAAAAATCAATGAATACAATATAATTTATATTTAAATATATTTTTTAAAAAAATCAGTTAAATAAATAAATTTATTTAAATAATTTAATTTAAAATTAGTTAAAATATTTAATGAAAAAAATAAATATAAATTTTTTAATATATTTTTTGACTAATTAATAAATAAAAAATGTAAAACTTAAAATTACAATTAATAAGAAAAAAATCTTAAATATTCAATCATAAAGGGCTAAATTAAATTCATAAATTATAAAATATTCAATTGAAATAATTTATAAGTTGGTGGAAAAAGAATTTAGAGTCAGTAATTTGAGTCAAGCCCAATAAGTCAATTCAAACTCGCTCAAAAAAAGTTATGATCGAGTTTAACTATATGAATTTTTTAAAAAAAAAATAAAATATTTTAAACTTGTCTGAATAAGCCCAGCTCACCCAAATTATAGACTCTAAAAGAATTGATATGAATGGACAATAAAAATTATTTTCTTCCCATTCCTATTCTCTTTTTTAGATTTTTACCCTCATTTAATCTACAATTGTCATGATCAAGTTTGATTTGCCTTGTACAAGTCAAAAAGTTGTCCCATCAATAAAGTTGCATGAAATTGGAATGGAGCATGGAAGAAAGTAGATGGACCTCGTGTGTAACATTCTAAAAATTTTAAAATTTAAATTTATTTTTTAAAAAATAAAATATTTATAATTAAATTAAAATTAAGAATAATTTGATAGAGGTTCAGAATTTTAATTTTATTCAGCAAAAGTTTAGTTTTATTTTATTTTCAACCATGAAAAAATTACAAAAGTTGACTTGGGTTTTTGTGTTATAATAAAAAATGTTGGGCCTTTCTTATAATTTTTTCTAAAGTGTTTGGATCAGTTTTTTAAGAGTAAATTCATGCAAAAATGAAATGAGAAACCAAAGGAAAGATATGTGAGATAGAAGAGAGGAAGAACAGAGGAGGAAGATAGGGAGTTGGGCTTAGATATAGGAGGCTTTGTGATCGTTGCGAGCTCAACTACACAATAGGTAAATTCCCTACTTCAATCATCTTCCTTCCCCCTTGGTTTTTTTCAATTTTAGAAAATTTTTAAAATTTGATCTCAAAAGTTTTATTTTTGTAAGCTTTAGTTTCTTTAGGCCCTTAGGAGGTTGTTTTGAGTTTCTATATAATGCCCTAATGTTTTGAGCGGGCAATTGGATGAAAAATGAAGTTTTAGGACAAAAGTCAAACCTAAGAGGTTGGGTTTTTCTTCTCAATGGTTTTAGCCTATTAATTTAGTTATAATTATGCTATTTGAATCCAATAAGATTTAAATTAAAGTTTGGTTTTTATTATAAGGGCTAATGATGAAAATTGGTGACATTAAGTGAAAGTTTTTAATTAATTAAAAATTATATAAATTAAAAATTAGCCTAGTGGTGGCTAATAAATGGTTTTGGTGGTTAAGTGATACTATGTGAATTGTTGGTTTAATATATAGACCATTAGGATGGATTATGGCTCATTAACCCAAGTTGTGTGATTTGAGTTATAGTCTTCATTAATGCTATTTGTCATGAAAAGTAATATGAATCACTTATATGTTGTAGGAAATTATTGGTAAAACTTAATTGAATGATAAAGAACAAGCTAAGTTTCATTCTGCACAAGGGGAAATCATTTTAGTATAAAGGGTTGAGGTAACAAGGAAATTTATATTTCTTATTACTTTGTTTAGCTATTTTTAAATAAATATTACTAGCTATCATGTATTACATGTTTTAAATGATTAAATACGATTAATTGTGTTTTACAAAAACTTATGGGGTATTACTTGGATAATAGTGTGTATATATTTTTTATTCATTTAACAATAATATTTTTATAGAAATGAGGTTGTTTCATGCATTGTAATTGTAGAGAATGGAAGTTGCATTTAAGAAAGTGTAATTGAGTTAGATACCTTAGAGAGGCTAAAGAACCACTTAAGGAATGAGTGATATTTGTTATACGATCTTAGAATATTGAAGTGGTTAATACTCGAAAAAGATAGACAAGAGTAAAGGGCATGATCTCGGTGGGAGTTTATCAATAAGAAAATGTGAACTTGTGATATTCTATGACACACTGCCAGTACTTAGTGTTGCCTTTTGTATTATGGGCTCAGTGCATTAAAGTGGTTAGTGAATTGAGTATTCGACACTCCCAGTGAGGGAGGGAATCTGACATATGAAGTATAAGGTTGAGTGCCTAAGCCAAGGTAGCCTTCACATTGAGAGTGAGTTGGGCTGGCTCTGGGAAGGAGTTAGCTTCAGCTACTCAATATTTACGTTAAAGGATCACAGGCGGTTAGGTGGATTCAATCATGCCTAGGATTATATTTTATATCTGTGGAGGTAAAAGTGGATATAAGGTTTACTTGCGAACTAAAGAGTGCCAAGGGGCATTCTGTTAGTCACGAAAGGCCATACTGGCTTATGTCATGAATTTATACATTTAAAATAGTTAAATTATATACTATGTTGACTCTATTATTTGTTTATTCAATTATGGCTTACTTGGTAATAATTAATGTAGATTTCTCTATTATTGAGACTGTGGTTATCTCATCCCTTTCTTTTCAATATTTTTAGGTCCAGGCGAAAGAATCAATGGTAGACGGGGAAAGGAGTAAAGCTAGGGGTTATTTGTAAATTGTAAAGAACTGCAACTTCTTTCTTTTAAGCAAATCTATTGTAATGTATTTTGGATTAGGGTGCTAGTAAAATGTGATTATGTATATATGTGTGTGAATATGTGTGGATTGTATGGCTTGTGTATGAATTTTTGTTTGCTTGTAGACTTATGGCTAGGAAACTTGGTTATGGTGTGTGGTTTTGATAGATTTATTTAGTAAACCAAGTTTTTATTACAAGTAAATATTTATTTTGATATGTGTGTGTGTGTGTGAGAGAGAGAGAGAGAGAGAGATTCTACAAGTAAATGCAAAGTGATTGTATTGCAAATAGTGTGCTATGGGCAAACATACACTTTAGATAGAAAGAGTGGGTGCATAGGCCCCATGGAGATCTTTGAGCCAAGTGAAAATATTTAGCATGTGTTTCTATATGTGTATATGATATTTGGAATGGTTTTTGGCTACTCTAATGTGATTTGTAAGTTTTAGGGGCATAGGGTTCATTTTGAAAAATGGCACCTAGTGGTTAAATTTTAATATAAAGAGTTTTTTTATCATATAAATATTTTATCAGATACTCCTAGTCCTATTTGATGTGTCTAAAGTGTTCTCACAAGTTTGTAACCTTTAGGATGAGATTTGGACAATCTGAAAAATAATTTTTTTAATCAAACAACTACACTTTTACATTTGAATGTCTAAATTTCAATCCGACCGTTAGATTTGTTTGAAATTTAGGTCACAAGTAAAAAATTTTATATTCTTCGTGTGGGCTTTAGAATCACTTTGATCAGACATTATAGGGAGAAATTGTGCACTTCGAAAGTTGATTCGGAGGTGCTGTCATGACAGCAAAGTGGCTAAATTTGCAACATGCACAAATTTCAATCTGTCCGTTAGATCTTTTCAAATTTTAGTATGCTAATAGTACTATTTAAAAGTAATATGTGAATTCTAGAATTACTCCTATCGGAGGTCATATAATGAAATTATGCACTCCGAAAGTTGGTTTAGAAGTGCTATCATGACAGCAACTTTATCCAATCTTGTAGAGTGTCCAAATTCTAATCTGATTGTTAGATTATTTTGTAATTTAGTACACTTCTAGTAATTATTAAAAATGACATGTGAACTTTAAAATCACTTCAATCGAAGGTTGAATGGTGGAACGGTGCCTCCCAAATTTTGGCCTGAGAAGGCTGTCATGGCAGCAATGTAACGCTGTCATGATAGCATCTTTTTATCCCACTTTCATCTAGCTTGCTTTAGTGTGCTACAGATAGAACCTATAAATTTTTTAAAGGCTTTAAATGTGTATTTTGTGGTGGTGTATTTGTTTATTGATTTAAATAATTTGTTTCCTAAATTAGTTTTAGGATCAATTCCTTAACCATACTTAGTTTGTTTGAATTGTGTGATTTTTTTATAACATTCAGGGCAAGTGTTATATTGTGTGAATGCATTGACCTCGTGTGAAAGCATTAAATGCTCCCCAATATCTGTTATTTTGCGAATGCTCATTATAAAAGCTACTCCATCCAGCTTTGTGGAAAACGTTGGTTTGAACCCAAACCTTAGTTGAGTATTTTTTTTAATTATCCAAACATGATTATTTGGACTTTTAACATCTTGACCTAGGTTTAGATCATCTCAACCTAAGTTGGCACGTTATCCAAACACACACGTAGATGTAGATGGTGGAAAACATAATATGTGAATAATAATAATTATTATTGTTATTATTATCATTAGTAAATAAAGTAATCAACTATCTTTTTGCTTTGCCTAAATATGTTCTTTTGGCTAGGATTTTTCATAGATTGCCTGTGTCTTGGGATTTTTTTTGGGATAATTTTATTAAAAGTCTTTCCATGTGATGCAATTTCAGTTAAGATTCAAAAAATTATGAAAATTTACTGAAATCTTAAAAGATTGAAATGAAGTAAATTTTTATAATTAAATGACTAAA